AGGAGCCGCCACCGACTGATCATAGGTTGCTGCATTCACTGGTGGTTGAACATAACCCCCAGCTTGACCATACACAGGCTGTGTGCCAGCAGCAGGAGGCGCTCCAAATCCAGAGCTCGGAGGAGCACTGTTTCCATAACCTGCTGCATCACCAGAGCCACCTTGGTAACCATAGTTAGCAGTATTAGATGCCACTTGCTCCCCATAGGCAGGCTGTGATGATGGATATTGCCCATAACCACCAGATTGTGCGACTGGCTGAGCATAGGCTGGAGCTGGCTGAGCACCTTGCCCATAGTTAGGAGCAGCTTGGTTGCTTGGTTGAGAATACCCAGATGGAGGTTGGTTGTATCCATCAGCAACCCCTGATGCCGGCCCATAATTCTGACCATAAGCTGGTCCTGGCTGAGGAGATGGGCCACCGTATGACTGCTGGGCAGGTCCATAGGATGATGGTGCTTGCCCTTGGTAAGATAGAGGGGTTCCAGTATATGCAGCAGGTTTGCTATAGGGTGGTTGATGTACGTAGGCAGTCTGAGGTGTAGTGCTTCCCTGTTGAGGATAAAATCCAGGCTGAGAACTTACTGGCTGCTGTTGCTGACCATACATCTGCAATGCTGGAGCTTGAGTATCATATTTTGGTCCTGCATACCCATGTCCATAGCTCTGTTGAGATCCAGATTGTGAATAGGAATTTGACTGAGAATAACCAGCAGTTTGAGGCTGCTGACCATAGTAGTTCGCAGGAGCAGAGGTCGGAGCAGATGCATTGTTCGATGGTTGAGATCCAATGCCCATTCCCTGTCCTTGTCCATAGTAATCATAGCCACCAGGGGTTTGACCAGGAGCAGCAGCCCTCTGCTCCCAGCCTCCTCCACCAAGATTCCTTGGTGGCTGTTGTGCCACCAGGGGTTTGACCAGGAGCAGCAGCCCTCTGCTCCCAGCCTCCTCCACCAAGATTCCTGTTGTGGATAGCTGCTGCCATAGGACTGCTGAGGATATTGCGTGGTTTGAGATGGATATGTACCTCTTTGGGGATAATCATAGGCTGTGTTTTGGTGCATTTGGGACTGTACTGGAGGCCGAGCACGGGGTCCCCATTGGGATTGAGTGGCAGGGCCACGAGGACGATAGCCTTGGTTTTGTCCACCTGAGAAACTTGATGGCCTTCCAGGTGTCTGCTCAAAAATATATAAAGAGAGACTACAAGTCAGAGAAGGAAAATTTCTCAAATGATCGGCAAAATGCAGATGGGTTGCATGAAACAAGATGAAATTTAGATGATGCATTCCAAACAACAAAGAACACAAACTGCAACGAGCAGAGAAGTTTAAAATATACGACAAGGTAAAAGTAACAGTAAAATGATGTTCAAAACAAGAGTGATATTGCTGGGGGCAAAAAGAAAACAAAACTTATATAGTACTACAAACTAACTGATGAGACAACAAAGGTATTGTTTTCATAAGTCAAGCCTCGCCAAGCATTTCACAATACAAAAATCAAATTTTACCCATTGTTAACCATCTACAATTTACTGCATTGCTTAAATACCATGCTTAAAAGTAAAATCTTACACCAAAGGTAATATAGAACATCAAAAACTCTAAGAGCAGAAGAGTCTGGAAGAAAGAAGATGTATAACCTGCATATTGATGAATTCACATGTACTCGAATGAACAGTTAAAAGAAAGTATCCAATCAGACGAGTTAATAGATTGTTGTCCAAGGAGTAACAGAACATGATTAAAAATACGATTTCACCTAGAACAGTTGCGCATAATACTAACAAGGTTATTAACAAACTCTCTAATACTAAATCATTCCTAAAGTGAAAAAAAGTGAATATCTTCAAACATTCACGTAAAATTCCACATCCTATACATGAATCCACAATAAATTTGTACCTCGAAGGAGAGAACATGCCAGCAGATAAAGGACATATACTGTGACGTACATATACCTAGCACAATTATGCATGGTAATAACAAAGTTATTAAAAAACTCATCTCAAATATTAATCTTCTTCGCCACAAAAAGAATAACTTCCAATTCACATGTAAAATGCCATTAATAACATACAGAAATGGTACCATTTACATATTATTCCAGCCTACACACGAATGTGAAATCAATCTGTACCTCAAATCAGAAGAGAGAACATGACAGCAGATAAAAGAGAAATATTTTCTTAATTAAAGAATTAACGGTTTGTGTCACTAACAAGAACATGCACTGGAAATATGAATTACACGAGCACTTGGAGCAATGAAAGATATCTATCCTCTTACTAAACAAAAACTTTGATGTTATTTTGCTGCCAATACAACTTATCACCTATGTGCACAGACATGGATGTCAACAAAAAGGGCAAGCTATTTTCTAAAGTCATTAACATGTGATAAATACTAAATTGGAGAGCACAGACCACATAGCATAAGACAATCATGGGTTCGTAACGAATAACCAATACATAACCTCTAAAGACATGACAACAAAATTGCCAAGTTTATCACATTAATTGTATTGACATGCTCATTTTCTTAATTTTTAAGTCTTTAAAGCAGTCTTACCAACTAGAGATTTCCTGCAATGGGTAAAGCCTGATATCCCACTTCGGTAGATGAGTGAGGAACAGAGTGCAGTTCTTACACCAGGAAATGCTGATCCCATGCAAAAGGTATAGCTGCATCTGCATTATAGAATCGAACCAGTGCCAAATAGGCATCTTCAGCATAAGAAAACCATGACAACTTGCATCAAGTGATTTTGGAGGGGATCATGTGAGAGTGAAAAGCCTAGTTTCATCCAAGTAAATGATCTCTGATTTGCTGGGACAAAGAATAGATGCAAGGTGTGTCTAGCATTTAATTTGACAAGGTCATTCAATTAACAAAATCATTCAAGTTGTTCTCATTACATTGAACCATTTGATAGAAACTTTCTACCGGGTAGGTAATTACTACAATCTCAAATTGCTCCACTATGAATATATAAACAGATTTCAAACAAGCCAAGGATACCACCATTGGTAATCCTTTTGAGTTAAATGTTTCTAAGGACTACTTTCAATGAAATTTACATTTATAAATCAAATAGTCGAACGGAGACGCATGCATAATGTGTGTACATACAGATATGCAAATATATGTACATAAAATTTGTGTGTAGATCCTATAGACAACATATATTTATTGACATGAGTTTCAATTCACCGAGATTCTATAATTCTTATATAACAGAATATTTCACTCAACGATAAATTATAAGAAACCTTCATAAGCAAGAATATCTATAAGCATTAAAACTGTATACGCAACCACTCAAATTCTATATTCAACAGCTCCAAAAGATAGCAGATAGTCGAGGCTTTGGATACACTGTCCCAGAATCGAGTTAACCAACCTTGCCAACAATACCAACAAAGACTGTACATAGCTATATAAAACTCATCGCTATAAGAAGGAAATAAGATATACTTTGCCTTAACCAATGGCTACCTTAAATAGAAGACAATTAGCTATAAATATGTCAACTAGAACCAGTACAAAATGAAAGTTAATCATGGTACGCTGTGAAAACCAAAGCAGTCCAGGAGCTTGCTCAGTTATTTTCCCCTCGGCAAGGTACATATCCTCCCATTTTCACTCTTCGCCAATAAAGTATGCCTTTGCACCTCACTCATTTGAGTTCTCAAGTGTGAACATAATTAAAAATATCGATGAAAATTAAGAATATATAAATACTTTACTGAACTAATTTGGGTTACCAATAACATTCAGCAAGAGAGTATTTAAAATCACTAAAAATTTGCTAAAAACCAAACTCTATACACGCGTGTTTGGGCATTATCTAAATATATCACATCTAATAGGCTAAATATTCATCCCCAATTAAAGATATCAAAACATACTACTAATTATTAATTAGCAAACTCAAGTAACTTGATATTTCAAAAATTACAGAAAACAGTGACAATAGCCAAGGGAATAACAAGATTTATAACGATAGACAAGTACAAGCAGCAAACAACTTATGAGAAGTCACTCGTCACCTATAGCACTCGTCACCTATAGCAAGTAATTTCTTCAGATATATCTCATCTGTTGGTTACTAAGCTATAACTATCCATTAAGTCACTAACACCTATTGAGATATTCTCTAATTTGACTGTAAATGCAGATTATTCATTTCCAGATTTCATCTGTCATAATCAATATCTGCAGATAATTGATAAGGATCGACAACTGAAACACTAACCCAGAAGCTCGGGTATTATATGACTCTAATCCTGCCAAACTTTGATTTTCATCACTGAAACAGTATAGTGCATACCCCTGACAGCCACTGCTTTTATATTCAAGTGTTACTAGCAGAAATACCTCAACTAACTTTATCATTGTCCATTTATTTAAGTATGACATGCTAAGTCCTCATCTAAAACAAAGAACTTCAGAAATATTTTCTCAATATGTGGATCAAAACAAGACATACGATTAATCATTGCTATCACTAGTCCCAGAAAAAAACTTACTAAAAATCATAATTAAAACCCCCTGCAAGTAACAAAAAATGAACTGGAAGAGCAAATACTCCCTTACGTTTCCAAGAAAAATGTTGATGATGATGACAATAATAGTGGTAATAGTAATGTAATTAATAATAACATTAATAGTAATAGTGGCATAATTGTCCACATCTACAACAGAAGAGATGAAGGCAGAATAAGACAAATCCCTTCCCTTCTTGCCAAGAATAACCATTTTAATGAACAACAGAAGCACCTATAAAGCTTCAAAAGTCAATAATTATACGCAAATAATCCACATTGGATGCAAACAAAAACTAATTAAGTTGCCATATATTGTATGAAATTGTACAGATAACAGGAATTAGCTTCATGCATGGTACACTGTTAAGGGGCTATCTGCCCTCAATTTGCGCACATATCAAACTCAGCACACAAAAAAATGTTTTCGTCAATTGCAAATCAACTCTGATAGCAATTTTAATTTCAAGAAAACTTTTGAAATAAATCAACCAAATAATTTCCAATGGTGACGAAATGGATGAAAGGGACTTAGAGATCCATAGGAGCATTTATTGTTTTCTTTGGAAGGCAAAATATATGAACCAGAGAAATGCTATGAAAATCAAAGGGATGCTGAAATATGGATAATGAGAAAAAGAATAATGCATGCAGAACATGTTCAATGTTTCCAATTCACGATGTATGCTGCCACAACCTGTAAGTAAAGCAGGCAAAAAAAATAAAAGAACTTCATAAAGTTAGTTATGTAACTCTGTAATGTGAGTTTAAAGACTAACTCCATCCCTGCTACCATTTTCACTGCGATGTCATGGTATGATTTTTTTGAAATCAAATAAAAATACATTTGAACGAATCTAGCCAGCCAAAGTTAATGAAACCAATGGGAGATTTGATAAAACAAGGGTTTCAAAGTTAACCAGATAAACTTTCAAAACCCTAAGATGTGCCCAAAAAAAAAATATCACCATGTATACTGGTTCACACATTGTTTTGGGCCTTTTGGAAACTTTTATAGTTATCAAAAGAGAACACTTAAGGAGAAAGAACATATAACAAATAGAAGGAAAAAATGCTTCCAACCCACATTTTCAAAACATGTTATCCTCTCAGGTTGTCTAGTCAAAGATGAATTATAAAAAACACCCTCCCCAAAAACCCCCCCCCCCCCCCCCCCCCCACAAAGAAAAAAGCATTCTCTAGGAAGTTCAAGAAAAAAAATCCTCATATATTATGGTACATGCATTGTTATGATAAAATTTGTATAGTTATCAAAGAATAATGCATTTAGGAGAAGAACTTATAATAACCTGAAGGCAAAATGCTTCCACCAACATTTTTAAACAAGAGATCCTCCCAAGTTGACTAGTCAAAGGGGAATAACCTACCTTTTAAAAGCATTTTTTCAGCTCTTTTATCAAGTTACAGAAGGTGCTAGACGGACTATGAGTTTGGCTAATTTTTAAATTATTTAATTATAATAATTGATAAAAACATGTATTAAATTCATATAAATTTGCTAAAAAAATAGCAATCTTAGATCCACAATAAACCATACATACTTAGATACTAAATAGCCAAAATAATAAGGTTATAGAAAGCGCTTGGAGGCCTAGACGTTGGACCCAA